CCCAAAGCCCCCTCTCAAGGGGGTTAGGGTCAGGGTTAAGGTGGGTTTAGCCCACTAAAATTTTTTTGGAAACTAAACTTCAACATTTTTAATAGTAACTATTAAAAGTACTAAATTTTATATTCATGTAATTGATTTCTTATTTCAAATTATTAAATAAAACTAATTAATTATAGTATAATAGAATATTTAATACTCAAAATAACCACTTTTTTAAATAATTAAAAACAATTGCAAACCACACACTTAATTTTATACAACTAAATAGTATTACAAATTTATTTTACTGAAATATTATAAAAATGCTTTATTCTGTTGTCAATTTTAATAAAATTATGTCTTATATTGCAGACACCAATTATTAAAAAATTATATATAATTAGTAATATCAAAATAACCACAAAGAGATAATAACATATTAATTTGATTTAATATTTGCACTGTTTTTACAATTCTTAAAAAAATCACTGTTTTGTTTCCTCGACTTCTAAAATATCACTCAATCTGTTTTTAATTATTTAAAATTAAAAATAATTCAAAAATTTATTATCTAAAATTTTTGGATAAAAAATAGTATTAATATTTTATGTGTAAATTAAACTTATGTTTTATTTTGTTTTTTTCTCTCTCATAATCTTTTCTCAAAATCACCATAAGATATATTATAAAAAGAAACTTAATTTCTTAAAAATTTATAAAAAATGAAAATTTTAAATAGACCTAAAGTACTAAAGAATGACAAATGTTATAGTGTTTCAATTATTTAACTAACACATTAAATAATTTATTTTTAACTTTCAATTAGAACACATAACATAAATGTATGTTTATGTTTATGTTTATATTTATGTTTATGACATTTAAAATGTAAACATTTTGAGTGAGTAGTACGACGAGATTGAATTCTATAGGCGATACAACTTTAGTCTGCACAAGGTTTATGAGTTTTTTCTTTTTATTTATTATTTTTGTTATGAACATGATTTGTTGAGTATAAAATGAAAAATAAAATAATTTATATTTAATTTCTTTTTCAATAACTTTCTAAGAAAATAAAGAAGCCTCATTTTTTTTAAATTAAGAGTTTCAATTAGAGAAAATCTTCTCTTAAATTTCAATTAGGATAATTTTAGATAAAAAGTTAATTTCTTACTTATAACTTAAAAAAGAGTGAAATTAAATATTTAAATTTCAAATTTATAAAATGATCCTTTAATTATATACTTAGAGAATCTAACTCAATAAATATTGTCATTTTGCTTTTGCTTCTTGATTTTAGAACTCTCCTCTTACAAAAATTTTAATTTATTTTCTATAGTAACTATTTTTGTAACAAATTAGGAGTTAATTATATTTTTTCTTGTATTCACAATGAACATTTTTTCTAAAAAAAGGCCCATGGGCTGGCCCTGGCTCACAGGGCTTTTGAAGATATTTTGGTCCTGTGGGCTTTTTCTACGAGGAGCTTTTTGGCGCTGTGGATTTTTCTGGCCCCAACCCACGTGAGTTAGGGCCAAACCATGTAAGGATGGCCAAATTGCCAGGTCTATTTGAATTTATCTATGAATTATCAATTGCAAAAAAATTATTCATAAAGTGTTCAATAATAAATTTCATCAACAGATCACAATTGTTGTAATGATCAATGACTATAAATTTGTTATAAATATTCATCTTAAAAATCACAATCGAGTTCTTCTTCCTCTTCTCTTTTTTCTCTTCTTTTTCTTACTTCTTTCTCATCCTCTCCTCCTCACAACACCTTCATCGTTGGGGCATCCACGGTCGCCTCTGACTTAAATTACTTCTCATCTTTCCTTTCTCTTCTAATTTTGATTGCCACTACAATGCATCTTTGTGTTACCCTCGTAGCCCTTTGTTACTATCGTAGCTTCATCACTCTGTTGGATATTCAAGTGAGTCTAAATCCCACATTGGATAAAAATAAAAAAGTAGAGCAGTATATAAAAATGAAAGACACGTTAACTTTTTGTCTAAAGTTTTGGGTAAAGAGTGATGTCGGATTCCTTGTCTAATTGGTGGTATCTTTGACTTTCTCTCTCGAAAAATTCCATTGGTAATAGAAGTTGTTAAATTTTAAATTTTAAAATTCGTTGTTAAATTTAGATTTTTTGAATAATTTAATAATGTTCTTAGACTATGTCACCTTACCTTGTACTTTTTAAGCCTTTCTTTTGATAAAAGAAAAAAACATAGAGAAAAGAAAATAAAAACAATGAATGATTTAGTAAAAAAAATAATAAATAGAAATATCTTAAATATAGATGACATTAACACAAAAGTTTCCTTGCAAACATATAAGTTATTATGCTACAATTCAACTATTCTTTTTCTTTATAAATAAATGTGTGAAATCAATTATGACAAGTCATAGATAAATACGAGAGACTTTGTCCAGTTAATTTTTTTTCCTGTTTTTTTAATAGTTTTTTGTTTTTAATAATAATAAATAAAGTATTACTAATAAGATGAGTAACAGTACCGATAAACCTAAATAATAATATCAATAAATAATGATAATATTTATTTATAAAATTAATTAAATTTTTAAGGTAAAATTTTCAATCCATTTGGAACAAATTCTATTTTGATTATTTTATCTATCTACTTTCTTTTCTTCTATTTCATTTATCTCGACTCTACAAAACAGTATTGCTGCCATGTTCACCACTTTAATAAACATTTCCTTATTTGATAATTAATAATAAAATAAAAACATATCTAAGATAGCAACAACAATCACAAACAGAGAAAATCACTTATAATATAAAGTATCTAGATAACTGATGCATGATTATCCAAATCGTTCTTAGCTACGGCTGATATATGCTTTCGTCTTGGTCAAATTCTGCATGCTTCATGCTCCAAGCATTCAGTTCTGAAATCACCACACTCTGTCTTCCATTGTTGAATGCAAAAAGATGAGCATCTTTGCCAATAGCCAACGAGGGATAAACTCTACTCGTAATACAAATTTTCCCTTTCTCCCCAAAACTCTCAATAATGGAGCGATCAATCTGCATAATATGAATTTATATATTTCAAATTGGAAAACACTTGATGAAATGAAAAGGGTAATATTTATTAGTAGCAATAAACATACCAAACTTCTGAGTGAAATTGTTTTTTGATTAGGGTCTATATCAAAGATAGTTCCATATGAGGATTTATCAAGATTCTCCCGCAATGAAGATCTGTGAAGTGTACACAACTCTCAAAATCTCAAGTCTCAACCATAAATCACACTGAGATTTATTCTTGATGAAAAGTATAATATAAGCACCATAATTCCCAGATTAAAACTCAGATGATTATGTCAGAAATTACCTGCTTTGATCACTGCACATGAAACATACATATCTATTGGAGGTTTTATATATTCTGAAGAAGATTGCAGTGTGTTCTGTTTGATCCTCAGATGCTAAAGCAAACAAACCAAATGGCCCTATTATGCCACTTCTTGATACATATTCTTCACTACACAGTAAGTGAGGATCAACTTCATTTTCATCTAGAAACTCTGCATTCTCTAGCTCTGGAAGCTCAAACAACACTTCTACATCGGCCTTGAATTATAAAGTTCTAAAAATCATCAATGATGTTGAACATGGTTTCAAAATAAAAAGGAACGTGACAGAATGCAGCAAAAGTTTACTTACCTGTGATGCAGTGATACCTGAGACTTCAAGAATTGATCCACCAACAAGTTTCTCTCCCTTTATGCTAATTTGTTTGTCACGTAGCTTTTCTACCTCTTCAATTGGCCATTGCATTAACCGGTTTCCACTTTCATCAAGCCAAACTTCCCTTGGAATACACTGCATAGTACATGGAAAAAAACACTCATCAACATCGTTACATAATTTCTTGTCGACTAAATATAAGACCAATTCAGAATAACATCTTAACGAGTTTTGTGAGACATTTCCTAACATAATCCTAAAGAAATTTTAACCAAAAGAAAAAGTCTAACACAGAGCTAAAATAAATACCTGAAGACCAGCCCATCCTTTCTCAATGCCATCATCTCTAGTGTCACACTCGTCCACCCACGCCCATAGTATCCTTCTGCTCTTAGCATGGTCAAAAAATGACTTTGAGGCATAAAATTTACCATAGTCAAACCTTAAGTCCAAACTAGTTCCTGTGAATTTAACATCTGGAATGAAGTTTCCATCACCATTGGCATATTTACCAAGAAAATAATAGTCCTGATTTCTGCGGTAATAGCTTATCTTCAACACATGTCTAACACTTTGATCTTGGACAGATGTATCCACCCCATTTGTGCTATTGATGGACACAGGAAAAAAATCTGGACACTCACAAACTCCAGTATTATCTGATGCAAAAAAAGGATTCAATTCCACTGTCCAATTATCAAAATCCTCACTTTGGTAGAGAACTACCTTCCCTTCATCACCATTTTGAGCACCAATGACTACCCTCCATTTTCCATCCTTTCCCTGCCAAGCAGTTGAAGGGTCTCTGAAATTATCAACTTCAACCCCAATTGGTGGAATCATGACAGGGTTTTGAGGGTGTTTCACCCATTCCCTTAAGAAGGGGTCTGATAGATTTTTTGGCATAGCCATGTTTTGAACTTGGTGCTTTTTATCATCAATTCCTGTGTACAGAATCACAGGATGTTCATTTCCTGGGATTATAGTGGCTGACCCTGACCAACAACTGTTAAGATCAAACGGCTCACTTGGCTCAATAGCATGGTTCAGATGAATCCAGTTGATGAGATCATAGGACACAGAGTGAGCCCACACCATTTTCTCACCGAAGGTTGCTGCATGAGGATTATGTTGGTAGAAAAAGTGGTAAACTCCTTTGTAGTACATTGGTGCTGCCACAAGTATCAATTTGCTCATATCAACACATGTATAATATACATAACAGATTGATTGAACAAGTGTTCGAAGTAAAATTAGCTTACACAACAAACTTTTGGAGAAGTTCAATGAGAAGAACTTCTATAAAACTTTAAATGCATAAATTGATTTAGTTTTTCTAAGAAGATCAACATTTGTTCAAGTATGAGCATGAATTGTCTGCTATAATAGGCAAAATAAGTAACCAAAAGTGTGAGAAATTCATGAGCGTACCATTTGGATCTGCACAATGAAGTCAACCATTTCCAGTTTTTTGTCAGAAAACATGTTATAAGACCAAGAGAAAAGAATTAGACATGATTACTGAAATAGACACAAACATGTGTCAAAATCAAATAGACAAAAAGAGTGTTTAGGGTAATAATACCATTCATCCAATATTTTGGAGGTTGAAAGTGGTACCAAGTTCTGTAAGGTTGTTTCTGAGGTACCTTGTTCATGGTAGAATTGAGATTGTGTGAATTGATCTCCATGATGATAGAGGAAGGTCAACCAATACTAGATGGTGAGTACCTTATACAATGGATCTTTCACTACTTGAAGAAAAAAGCATCACTGATGTAAAATGACTGGTGCTGATAATAATTTGGATATACATCAACTTTGAGAACATTGCAACAGAGAAATTATTTTTATTGATGACTTGACTTCTGTAGTCAATGCAAATTGGTTATATATAATTTGTTTTTAGTATGTTTCTAATTTGTGTTAGTTCTGAAGTCTTTTACAGACTTAATAGGGTAGGATAAGAGAGTAAAATACGAGAATAATCCTATTATAAAATAAAAATATGACAATTTATAATTTTATTCCATATATACAACATAGTGTACTAAATAATGATAAAATATAATAGAAATCAAGTTTAAATGAACATTTTTCATTAAAATTGCATATAATTACATAAATTTTGATATCAATTGTAGAAATTACAAAAAATAAAATTTAACTAAATTACATAAAATTGTATTTTATTAATGTAACTAGTTTTTATATTACTAAAAAATTTATATAAGATTTTAAAACTGAAATAAATATTTTAAAAATAGTTAAATATAATTTAATTTTAATCTTTAAAAAATAATTTAATTTAATTATTTATTATAATTTAATAATTAATATAATTTTATACTATATCCTTCTTTGTTTCAGATTTCTATATAATAGGCTCAACAAACTTGGATTTGCTGAGGTACACTATCTAATGCACAATTGCACTTTTGGTTTCAAAACCCATATTTATTCAATGTTAACTCTCAAAACAGTTCAAATTCTTTTATACAATTGTCAATTCATTTTATTTGCTAAATAGTAAAAACACATAAAAAAAATACTAAGCTTTGAAAAAAATGAAAAAAAAAAGTAAACACGTTGAAAGTGTCACTTCGACTAGAGATAAGACCAATTTATAATATATAAGTGGGGTGCAAACCTCACCGTACAAGCTAGTTTTGTGGGGTTGAGTTTGGCTTAAAAATCACTTTCTAATAGTCATGTCTATATCTCGGTGTGAAGAGAGTGTGTTAGAAAATCCCAAATCAACTAGAAAAACCTTACCATACCAATTTTGTGGGGTCGAATTAAATTTAAAAATTACTTCCTAATAAAACAACATAATATTTGCTACCCAAATTTTATACTGTCATCTTAGAAAATTAAAACAAATGTTGTAGGAAATAAAAAAAATTATAAACTGAAGAATGAAATATAAAAGTAAAAAGAAAAATAGTGAAATAAAATCTTCTTCCATATGTCTTGTCTTATGAAAAAACATCAATACAAGTAAAAATCCGAGAAAGAAGATAAAAACAAAAATTGCATCTAATTAATTTGATCATTTTTCAAAATGTAATTTCTTTAGTTTTACAAAATATAATTTTTCTTTTTTACTACTTGTTTATATCATGATTATAGATTTTATTTTTAGTAACTAAAGAATTGTTTTGTGAAATTTATTTTACTGAACGAAGTCACATTTTGATGAGTTATTATATGATTATTAATAGTAGAAACATCTTGAAGTGTTCAATTAAGAAAATTCAACTTTCAATAAATTTTCAAGTAGTACAACAGTTTTTTAGTGAATTAAACTTCCTTTTTAGTGATTTTCTGTGTGCCGAAATCATTATCCATCATAGCTATTTCCCTAATGGTGTGTTTATTTCAATGTATGTACTGTTTACAAGGAAAAGAAAAGAAATGGAATCAAAGTGTGAATTTCAATGAATAAAATAATGTTAAAACATTAGAAATTATAATACATCCACCCTTTAAACTTTTTCTGCATTCTTGAGAAGAAATTACTTAAATTTTTAATTAATTTTATTATATATATTTTTAACACTAATTGCTCCTTGAGAACAATGTCATTTTGATGAATGCTTAGTCACATAAATACATAAAAAAAATTCTCTCATTAAAAAAAAAACCATGTAGTTTATAGGGATTGACTTGGATGATGCTCAAAAGGAGCATTTCTAATCTTAATTTTTAAATTCGCAAATTCATAATTAGGTTTCAAGGGTTTGATGAAGAATTTTGAGTTCTAAAACATGTAAAAACAGTACAATGGAAAGCAATGGCTAATTTCCTTAATTCATTATGCATAATTGGTTTATAGGTTTAAGTACAAAACATTTTTCCTACATGAATTTCTAAACATTATTCTATGTCCAAATAGCTCATTATAATTGATCCACTGTATTTTATTATAAATTAACTTTAAGAGAAACTACTGTGTATCCCTAAATTCAATTCATCATACAATTTAAATATTTTAAACAAACAAACAAATCCAATTATCTAAAGAATTGAAATCTAAATATTTAAAACCATATAAAATCAAATCTCAATGAACCTAGAAATTATAAAGTCGTAATAAAAGAAATGAGAGAGTAAAGTAGAAAAGAATTATTTGAATGAAAGAAGTAAATGAATTGAATCAAAGCGTTGAAGGTTTTATTTTTGGAAGATGTGAAAGAAATGTAGAAGAAAATAATTCAAAAGGGAAACTTCTATCTTCCTAAACGAAGAAAACAAATAGCACACACCCTTATTTGATAAGTTCACACCTAATAATCTATGTTAAATTCAACTTCAAGGCCAAGTAACACCAAAAAATTTGTTAATACTCCTTAACTTATTTGTTACGATACAAAGGATAATGAAATTATTATTATTGTTATTATTATATTTATAAAATTAAATATAAATGATTTTATAAGTTTTATTATATATAGTTTGTATTTATTTTGTAGATAATTTTTAATTAAAAATGGTTAAACTTAAAAAAAACACTTAAAAATAAAATTGCAAATCAAATAAATAAATATATATATATATATATATATATATATAGATATATCGTGTGAAACACACGTATTAAATTAATCATGTCATTAAAAAATTAACATAACTTAAATATAATTATCACTTATAAATTATTTTATAGATGTATTTACAGTATAAAAGCACAAGTTCTTATAATTTTATATTAGTTATAAAACCATTTTTAATTAATAGAGAATATTTTTCATTACATGAAATTATATTTACAGTAAGTTTGTTAATTTTTAAATATTTATTTTTAAATATATAGCGTAATTTAAGTTTTTTTTTTTTTTTTTTCCTTCCATTTAACTTTATCTATAATGATAAAATTTATATCAAGTTAAATTTATATTTAAATTAAATTTTTTTATCAAAATTTTGGATTAAATTAAATAAGAAAAATGACAAACCTAACCTATACTTAATTTATCCTCAACCAATGAAACAAACTTATGGAAAATCACCTTATTCTCAAACATATAAGTCAAGAACTATAAATCGTGCTCAAACTTAAGATATAAGGCTCGAATACTCAAAGACTGATTGTGGTGGCTCGAGGAATTATTTCTCTGCATTTTTTTTATTATCATATTTTCATTTCAATAATTCTAGAAATAATGACTAAACTAATATTTACATTTGTTTAATAAAGGGAAATACAAGTAGTTCAATTCAATAATAAATGAATATAAATTATATAAGGCAAGTTGTTCCAAAACCAGTTTTGAAATAAAATATAAAACAAATAGTGTTGGGTTGTCTTGATCTTTCACTTCATGCAAATCAATCAAACAGATGGCCACTTGCAATCATTCGGTTTTGTCTTAGGAATTAGCCAAAAGAAAAATATTTCTCAGAAGACTTGGATTTTAAATTCCTTTTAATATTTTCCATTAGAACTCATATTATGGGTCTTTGTCTAAGTCATCTTTCACGTGATAGATAATGAACGCAAAAAATATTTGTTTAGGAAAACCTTCACCATATAACCTCACAAATTATAATATAGAGATCATGACATTTTCCCAATCACATGCAAGCCAACTGTGCACTGCCAAATGCTATCTGATTTTTGTATTATTGGTTGCTACTCTCATTTCTAATTACCATCTTCAAAATATTTAAACCAATAATTTCACAGTTATTTAAAAAGTATGGTTAAATATATTTTTAATTTTTGAATTTTTACATAAAATTAGAATTTAGTTTTATATGAAACTTTGAGATATTATAGTTTTTAAATTTAAAAAATATGGATATAATCCTTTTAACCCAATTATATTAATATTTTCTTAGCTTGTTAAATGTGTTTCATATTAGTATTTAAGTTTATCTTATTTGACACATTATTGTTTCAATATCAATTAAGAAATGCATTTGACACAAAAAAAAAGTTTAACATAATTCGGTTAAATACACCACATCCATTCATTTTTAAAGTTTGGAGACCAAAATATATCAAAAATTTTGAATGAAGACGAAATCCAATTTCGCATCAAAGTTTAGGACTAAAAACATATTAATCCTAAAAGTATGATTTTATATTTTTTTCTATATAATGTTTAACTTTTGTTAGGATAAACTTAAATTGTAGGGTATTTTGTAATTCTATTGATTTCGTTTTGAGTCTTATTTTTTTATTAATGTGAAGTGTTTTAGCTTTAAAGATTCAGTTCCTATTGTAGGAAGGTTCAACACACACACATACACATAAATCTCCATACTGGTAAGATATTGTCCGCTTTCAAGCTCTCACAGATTTGTTTTTGGTACCACTCCAAAAGCTCTTTTATCAATGGAGGTATTTTATGTGTATATAAAATCATGTTCATATCTTATTTTATCCGATGTGGGACTTTGTTTGTACCCAACACCTGTTACTATTTTTAACTCTGGTTCGTGTTACTGTGTTTATAGCCGGCCAGTTATTATTATACTAGGCACATTAGTATTGTTGTTTTATCTCATAGTCTTGCGACTATTTAAGGCTTGTGACATTCATCAATAATATGTACAATAATATGTAGCAATTATAGAGTGTGTGCCACATTTTCTATTTTATAAATTGACATTAAAGTTTTATGCCTTGTGTGTCTGAGTGAGAAAGAAAAAAAATAGAGAGTGAAACAATGTGCTTGAGTGCTTGAGAAAAACAGAGAGGAAGAGAGATGGAAAATCTAATAAATTGTATGTCTCTGCCACAATCATCAAAGAAAGTTAATTATGATAATTGGAGTCAACAAATGAGAGCTCTTCTTGGATCCCAAGACGTGTGGGATGTAATGGAGAATGGATACTAAGAACCATCGATGGAGGAAGAGCAAACAATGGTCAAGATTGCTACATTTGCAGTGAACCTGGCAAAATAGTCGGGTAGTAAAGGGAACTCAGTGAGGCAACCGTCTATCATGAAGAGGTCGGTCAGATGACTGAATAGCCCTGGAGAGGGGAAAAGCAAGCTTGGACAACCTGTGGAGGTCTCTTGACAACATGGTGGAGGTTTTAGTGGATAGTTTTATGGAGAACTTGGAGGAGTGTGTAGATAGCTCGACAATAAGCTCGGTGGAGAGCCCGAAAAGCCCAATAGAGCAAGTAGGAAGTTTGGTTGAGTAGGTGTTGGGAATTCAAGCGTGAGTCTAAGTCCTACATTGGATAGAAATGAGAAAATAGATCACTGTATAAAGATAAAAGACCCATTAACTCATTGTCTTAAGGTTTTGGGTAAAGAGTGGTGTCAATTTCTTATATGATTGAGCTCATATCTCATTGGTGTTTGCGTCTTCCCGTGAGCCTCCTCCTTGATAGACCCAATAGTGTATCAGAGTCGTAAATCCCACATTTGATATAAATAAAAAAATAGAACATGGAGAGTGTGAACATGGAGAGCTCGGTGCTGAAGAAACTGGAGAGCTCGGAGGTACTAGAGGAACTAGAGATCAGCTTGGTTAACGTGTTTGGGTTCCTAGAAAATGAGGGGCTCGAGGAGCAATAACAATGTTTACGGAAATTGAACATGTTAGAAGTTGTGGAGAAGAAACTAAAAGAGAAAGATTAGGAGAAGTTTAGTATAATGTTATCGAGGAAGTGGATAAAAACAAAATGTGCGAAAACATAAAAAATGATATTATGTGCAATGAGGATAGTGGCAGATGGAAAGAGGAAAATCATGAAAGAGTCGAAGTTGCAGTAACTCATGGTGGAAACATGGTTAATAAGACGGCCAAGATGAAGAACAAGTTAGCGAATGTTACTCGAATGACAGTCAAAGCAAAGGAGACATTGACCAAGGTGAAGAAAGAGGAAGACCACAATGAAAGTGAAGAACTCACAGAGTAAGCTCAGTCCATAATGAAAGTAAAGAATTTGACTGTTCATGGAAGGAGTAAGCTCGATGAAGGATGAAAAAATTTAAGTTGATGGGAGAGTTTTGTTGAGATAAACTTAAATTTTAGGATGATTATGGAATTTCATTGATTTTGTTTTAAGTCTTATTTTTTTATTCTTGTTACTAGTTTTAGCTTTCCAGGTTTATTTCTTGTTACTATTTTTAAGGCTACAGATTTGGTTCTTGTTATTGTTTTTATACCCGACTAGTTATTATTATATTGTGCATATTAGGGTTGTTGGATTTACATCTTAGTCTTGTGGCTATTTAAGGCTTGCAGCATTCATCAATAATATACACAGAATTGTAGAATACGATTATACCGTGTGTGTTTTCTATTTTACAACTTTGTCATTTATATCAAGTGTAAAACTAAGACTCATTAAAATTATTTTCAATAGATATATATTTTATGAATTTGAAATCCTATCACTACTAAAAAAATTGCATATTTCCTGCCAATTTTTTCTAGTAGTGCATACCGATGAAAGATAAAGACAATTTTTAATATAAATATTATTTTACAAATTAAATTTGTAAGGTTAAGTTAATTTTAAAGTTATTAGGCAAGAATCTAGTTTTTTCGTTGTCAAGTCGGAGTTTATTTGAGGGGTAATTGTTAAGTAATTTTCTTAACAGACAGAAAAAAGTGGTTTACTTCTCTGTCTCAGAACCCAGATGATAAAATACTAAAAAGAAGAGTTGTACCAAGACAAGCACAATATTAAATAACAATACTCATACATGAAACAAACACATGTTAACTTTTGAAAAGTTGTATTCTTTTTTTACTGTGTTATAGGAAGAAAACAACTATGAGAAAGAGAGCACTATATCTAACATAGCACGTGTTAATGGCTTTGGCCACACCTTTCACTGTGTTATCCATAGTATCATCATTTCACTAATTTGCTGGGCAATGAACATTGGTGATTTTCACATACCAAACTCTCTTGATATAGTTTCAGCCACAACATAAGCATATGCATGCATGGATGCACGATGAAGTCTGTGATTTGTCCCTGTCTTGTCTGATAGGAGTTTCCAATAAATCAGTCCCTTTTTGCTTTATCACCAAAAATTGGAGAGAATCTGATAAGAGTTTAATTTCTTTTCACCCTCACTGTTCCACTCTTAACCAATTAAAACATAACTTTGATCATACTTACTCCAAAAGTCAACAATAAAGAGTGAATTAGACATTTTCTCATATTTTATGATAAGAAAACCATTGCTATTAAATAAGCAATAAATGGTGAAAAAGCATATCATTTCCTATAAAGAAAAACCCATTATACATGAGTCATCATAGAAAACTCATATGATATATTTTTAAATTCTAAAAGCATATAGGATGGCTTGATATTTTATATTATGAAATTCAAGACTCCAATGAATGCCTAACTAGTGACCCAGATAACTTCAGGTTGGAATCTATCTCAAGCTGATGTGTATTTAAAAACCTGATTGGTTTTGGATTTGTCTCTTTCAACAAAGTGACAGATCACAGTGAATATAATAGTCCTTTTCTTGTGTATATATAAAGTACTTCATCAAACTAAAACTCATAGTTAGGCCTTTTGCTCTTTTGACATTCTCCTTCTCCCTCATGCTTGCATCATGAAGATCATTGCAGAGCTACTGTTATTTGTTGTTGTTTCTTTTCTGCTCAACAGTGGAAATGGAATTCAAGCATTCTCCACACATAGCATCAATTCTAGAGCAACTGCAAAGCAACCTTATAGAACTTCTTATCACTTTCAGCCCCAAGAAAATTGGATGAACGGTATTGTTATCCCCTCCAAGTTTTGTGGATCCAATTTTAGTATTTCAACATTAATACTTCGTAGGAATACAAGTTTATCTGTTCAATTCTGTTTCTTTTTTCAACCATTGATAAGTCTAATCCTTTTCTTTTGTCATTTGACATGTTTCTGCTGACATAATTGGACATGGATGTCTTCATTTTACAGATCCCAATGGTAAGCTCTTGAATTTATAGAACTATCTGTTGTTCATACATCTCCCCATATCATCATCCATATCGTTGTGAAATTGGACCAAATTTTTCTTTGACCTCTTAAGAATCTGTTTAAATAGACTTCACTATAAGAACTTACGGAACAAAATAAGTAAATTAAAATCAACTTATGCGCTTAACTTCTGCAGAAGTCTTCTTCTAGTTTCTCCCAGAACTTACTTCTTCTGTAGATATCTGGCGTTAATGTTGATTGAATCTCTCAGGGCCTATGTACTACAAAGGTGTTTACCACCTTTTCTATCAGCATAACCCTGAAGCAGCAACCTTTGGTGATAGGATTGTGTGGGGTCACTCAGTATCCTATGATCTCATCAATTGGATTCATCTGAATAATGCTATTGAACCAAGTGGACCATATGATATTAATAGCTGTTGGTCAGGCTCAGCCACTATAATCCCTGGGAAAGAAGAGCCTATGATTTTGTACACGGGAATTGATGATAAGAAACATCAAGTTCAGAACTTAGCTGTGCCGAGGAATCTATCTGACACCTTCTTAAGGGAATGGATAAAACACTCTCAGAACCCTGTGATGACTCCACCAAGTGGAGTTGAAGTTGATAATTTCAGAGACCCTTCAACTGCTTGGCAGGGAAAGGATGGGAAATGGAGGGTAGTAGTTGGTGCCCAAAATGGTGATGAAGGGAAGGCAATTCTCTACCAAAGTAAGGATTTTGTTAATTGGAAAGTGGATCCTAATCCCTTTTATGCATCACAAAATACTGGGGTTTGTGAGTGTCCAGACTTTTTTCCTGTGTACATCAATGGCAGCACAGATGGGGTGGAAACTTCTGCGCAAAATCCAAGTGTCAGACATGTCTTGAAGATAAGCTACCTACGCAAGCAGCATGATTACTATTTTCTTGGTAACTATGCATCTGATCAGGGAAACTTCATTCCTGATGTCAGGTTTACAGGGACTAGTTCAGACTTGAGGTATGACTATGGTAAATTCTATGCTTCCAAGTCATTTTTTGAAAATGCCAAAAACAGGAGAATATTATGGGGATGGGTGAACGAATCTGACTCCACACAAGATGATATTCAGAAAGGATGGGCTGGTCTACAGGTATTCTAGTCATTTCAGCTGTCATATTGTTTACCTTTGTAGATATATGATTGTATTAAATTCAATCCAAAGATATATGTTTGAAATCATTGTTGGATATAATCATAGATAGAAGAGTGTGTATGTCCATAATACAAACAATTCCTGTCATACTATAGTTTCTAATGATTTTCTTAACATGTTAACTGACTGAGTATTTTTGGCTGTGTAGACAATTCCAAGGCAAGTTTGGCTTGATAAAAGTGGGAAGCGATTGGTTCAATGGCCACTTGAAGAGGTAGAACAACTACGTGGCAAGCACATCAGAATAACGAGGGAGAACCTTGAGCATGGATCAAATCTTGAAGTCTCGGGTATCACTGCATCACAGGTAAGTAAATTGACTCTATTTTCATTGATAAATTTCAGACCAAGCACATCAATGATGAGGGCTTTCAATTTTGAACTTTTGAAGGCCGATGTAGAAGTGTTGTTTGAGCTACCTGAGCTAGAAAAGGCTGAGTTTCTTGATCCAAACGGAGTTGATCCCCAACTACTTTGTAGCCAAGAATATGCAGCAAGAAGTGGCACAATAGGGCCATTTGGGTTGTTAGCTTTGGCTTCAAAGGATCTCAAAGAGCACACCGCAGTCTTCTTCAGAATTTATAGAGCATCCAATGGATATGTATGCCTCATGTGCAGTGACCAAAGCAGGTTGCATCTGAATTCTAACATTCCACCAACATAGTTTTTTGTTCATAGATAACTCTTGTTAAACATCTCCATGTAAATTGTGATTGAGACAGAATTTTGTTTATCCAGGTCCTCATTGAGGCATGACCTTGACAAAACTACATATGGAAGTATCTTAGACATAGATCCCAATCTAAAAACGATTTCACTAAGAAGCTTGGTATGTTTATTTCTAAAAGGTGTTACTCAGTCCTCCTTGTTTTATGATATGCTTGGTGGTCTGATGAGTTCTTGTTATGCAGATTGACCACTCCATTGTTGAGAGTTTTGGAGATGGAGGGAGAGTTTGTATCACTAGCAGAGTTTATCCATCATTGGCTATAGACAAAGATGCTCATCTTTATGTATTTAACTATGGAAGCCAGAGTTTGGTGGTTTCAGAACTGAACGCTTGGAGCATGAAACAAGCAGAGATTGGATATGAGGGAAACATAAGCTATACCTGAGAAGGGTTAGAAGATTTTTGACAGTGTCGGATGTGTCTTAACGTTGTTTTCCCTCTATGATTGTCATATTTAGGATATAACTCTGTTGTCTATTGTAATATGTATAATGAATTGAACCAATAAACAAACGACAAAACATTCATAAAGGACATACGTATGGAACTTCTTTGTTCTAAAACTTGTGCCACACAAGGAAGTTATTGGTTCTAAAATGCACTTCCTTACTATAATCAACTTGCACTTCATTTTAACAACTAAAAGACCAAAATACTCTCACTTGCCATCGTTGCTCCTATAGCCATTGTTGCCATTGTGTCTTCTTTTTTATGCACAGACAGAAAGAGAGGGAGAGCATGAAAATGTAGGTTGTTAAGTTTAGTGGAGATTATATAATTTTGTAGTTTTTTTCTCTTTACAGATTGTCTGATCTGAAATCTACTAGATTGCTCAATTTGAAAAGGAAAGATGAATTCTCGAAAGCTTGTTTTACAAAGCTTATTCTGAAAAGCATCTCATATGTTCTGGAAATTGAAAATTTTATTCTAAGAAAATTTTCAGGTCTGAAAATCTTGTTCTACAAATCCTATTCTAGAAAACTTGTTCCGGAAAGGTTGTTTCCAAAAATTTCCAAAATAGACAATCCAAAAATCACCATCGAAATATGTTATGAATGGTAGATGGGTCATTTTAAAAATTATGGCGGTGCGGTGATGAGTATGAGGTGCATAAAGCAAAAGCCTTATATTATTAATTTACAACTATTTCTTCTTGCACCTCCTCACTTTTCTTCTTATACCTCCACATTCCAAAAATACACTTCTTCAACGGATTTCGAAATCCGTTTAAGATTTCAAAAAATCTTTTAACGGATTTTGAAATCCATTGAAGAAAAAAATTCTTTAATGAATTTTGAAATCCGTTAAAGAAAAAATCATTTAACAGATTTTGAAATTCATTGAAGAATTTTTTGAAAACTTCAACATATCCAAAATTTGTTGAAGGTTTGAAAAATCCTTCAACGAATTTTAAAATTCGTTGAATGATTTTTTTCTTCAACAGACTTTGAAATCTGTTGAAGAAAAAAAGTGGGGTGTAGGGTTTTTTGAAATACAGGAGTAGTTTTGGAATTTTTAGAAAATGTGAGGGTGTAGAAAGAAATATGGGGTAGTGCAGGAAGTAATCCTCTTAATTTACATTTAGTTCAGCTTAAAATAATTGATCTATTAAGTGTAGGGATGGCATAAAAACCCGTTCCCGCGGGTATCCGTGGATAAAATCTGCTACGGGTATTTAGTACCCGCGGGTAGCGGATATTTTAATACCTGCTTGTTAACGGGTCGGGTTCGAATATTACACTATCCGTACTCGCAGATACCCACAACCCGTCTGGAAAATGAAATTTCAATTTTATCCTTCGTCCTTGATAAGTGCAAAAAAGTAATAAATTTTCATATGGAATTTTGGCACTTCTTATTAAATTGTGTACATTTGTATCAATTTTCCTCAATCTAAGAAAGATGAAATGTAATCACATGTTTCTGAGTTGTTGATTAAAAGGAAATCATTTGATCCCTATTTTGTATATATTTCAGGTAAATTAAGAGAGAAGAGTAAATCCTGCAACATTTCGCCCAAGCTAGAATGATCTCGCTTAAGCTAGACTCGTCCAGGAAGCCATTACTTTAAAAGTCATTTTCGCTTAAGCGAGAATAATTTAGCTTAAGCGAGAATTCGGGCAGTATATATACTCATGAGTTAGAAAGAAGACGGAGAGCGCGGCGAAAAGAAGACACAGAGCTACCCAAAGAGTTGTTCTTCCACTTTAGCTGTAGGATCTTCTTCTTCATCTCTTAGAATGTCAACGGCCACCATGAGTGACTGATCTTTTCTCTCGGGATTAAATGTAATCGATTCGAACTCGAATGCAATCTGGTGATATTTATATATAGCATTTCTGTTTTATTCAATATTGGTATTTTTGTTCTGCTTTTAGTGCTTCTGATCAATAGTTTCATGAATGTGGGTTTTAGTTTTGACTGGAAAGTATTTCTAAAATCTGATCTGAACAAGAATACTTGATATCGTTTGATGTTAGGAATAGATTTCAGTTTATCAATTGCTTTTAACACTTGATTATAATGCTGGACAGTTTGTTGGATATGTGAGGAATCAATATTCAAGGAACTGATCTTATGAATTTTATACGCGAGGAATCGGTATAAATGACTTTTGTGTGTTGCATCAATATTGGTAATTTCAGTTGTTATATGTTTATATTCATTCAGATTGCAGACGAGTGAGATAGATGAATTCAATCCCAACTTCGCGTATTAAACTTTCTTTAACTTATCTGCTGTTAATATTTTACTTTTACGCAACTTAGTATAAATTATCAAAATCCATTATGAATCAGTTTGAATACCCTTGTATATATGTTGTTTGAGATAAATTTATCTATTTAATTGAAGTTGTTCCTCGTGGTATTGATACTCTTACTTAAAAATCATTATACTACAGTTGATTATTGGTACGCTTGCCAAAAGTTCAACACCGTCCTTTAAATTATTTTCTAAGCTCTCTCTCTGCCCGTCAAACCCTACATTTCAATTTTTTTTTCTCCTACATTCGCATTGTTGTCATAGAGGGAGAGAAAATCCTTGGGTTTCCTTTCGAAGGGTCACACTTAGTGGCTCATTCTATCCTTTCTCTTTCTCCTTCATCACACTAAAGCCAAAACCTTGAAGTTTATGCTTTTCAATCCACTATGGATGACCTAATGTTGGGGGCGATGATGATCTACGTCTTCAGCAGAGGCAACAACCTCACAGCGGCGATGATGGAGCGATGGCGTGGCGAAGGTCCGACGAGAGCGTAGCTGCTGGAGCAACAATGGCGTGACTCAGGGAGGCGTTCTTCCTTTCTTCTTCGTTCGATCGGGAGCGAACTACCTTTGTCGGGGTGTGGAGAGGCGCGGTGGTGGCAGCTTGGAGGCGGTGAGGCGCTGGATTTGCGATTCATTCCGTTTCTGTTTCGTCTTTCAGAGGAAAAAAGATTTGGCGGCCTACGGTGTGAGGTATATTGTTCGAGCTCGTTTCATGGGGAAGAAGTAGTTGTCCCGAGGCTGCTAGGGACTTCTCCTGTACCGTACCGCACACGCACGAGACGAGGAGGAGAATGACGACTACTCTGAACATGAGGAAGAAACCCTAAAGAAGGGTTTGGGCTTGACCCATCTTTTTGTTATGGAAGAAAACCTAAAAAAAGGGTTTGTACCTACCCATTTTGAAGAAAAAAATAAATAAAATATTATTAGGTTAAAACGGGTATCCGCGAGTTGGAAAAAATCCACGGATTTTTTTTATGCGGATATCCGACGGATAACAGAGCGGGTACGAGTATAGTTTTTTACATGCGGGTCGGGTTCGGGTATCACACTATCTATGTCCGACCCGACTCGTTGTCATCCCTAATTAAGTGTATGATAGTTTGAACAAGAAAACTAATGTGGCTTTAATGAGTGAAAGTCAAATTGGTCCTCTGTAGGATAATTTGAACCCGGTTAAGATGTTAAACACAAAAATGGTCATATAATAAGAAACAATTTTTTTCCTCTTCGGATTGTAAGAGAGTAAACGACAATTTTGTAAAGAATAAATGGTTTAGTTGAGAAAGGTTTATTAAACCAATTGTTCATTATTATTATTAGATTCAAATGCAATTATTTCTTAAACACTTCTGTAGATAATTTGTGTTTTAGTTAAGGATCTTCATTGATTTGAATAGACTTAAGAATCCAAACTAATTAAGTTCAATTGGATAACTAGTTTAAATAAATTCAACATGAACCACTTTAATCAAATTTGACTACGTTGATTGGTTCTCGTACCATCTTTTTAAATTTCCAAATCCAAGAAAACTATATCAAATTAATAACATATTATTCCTATTATTAATTATTATTTACAAACTATATCATAATTATTTTGCTTTTCAAATATTATTCATGTTCAAGGATTTGAAGGTGATCCCCATTTCTTTTTATGGTTTTGTAATCTTTATTAGAATTAATTGTATGTTTTTGATGTATTTGGTTTGTACATCAAAGTGTGGGTATTCTTGGTTTAGGGTTATGAGAGTGTTTCAATTTAATTGTTAAAGTGTTTAAGACATTTGTGTTATGTATTATTCTAGTTTAATATGATGATTGAAGTTCTCTTATTTTGCTTTTGTTTCGTGTTGTGTATGATTGAAGAACGATTGTGAACATTTCTATTTTTGGATATTGAATTTGGTAATCATAATTACTAAGGAAGCAAGAAAGAACACATTTACTTCTAACTAAAATACATTTTTTATAACGAGTTAGAAGAATCGATCTAAAAAGTGGACATTCTATGACATATCTAAAAGAATCAACAAAGAAAACAAAAACTTTTTATGTTGGTTATATTTATGATGGGTCCAGAACTGACATAAAAAATCTTTTTTAAACGTCATAAAAAGTTTTCTGTATTTGTATTTGTATGTTAAATAAAGTGTTATTAGAAGAGAAAAAGATAATAGAGAAAAAAATTATCCTTTCTACAACATTTTCAATTCAATAGCAAAAATTGTTAGCATAATTTTGAAAATGCATTGATATAAAACCAAACTACAACATATAATTAGAGCAATTTGATATAAAACATCTATTAAAGGAAGTTTTTCCATGCAAAAAAGACATATGGATAAAATACATGCATGAAGTGATACACATAATTAAAAATGTTGCATGAAAAATATAATCAAAGCTTTAAGTACTTAAAATATTTGTGCATCTAACAGATGATCTGGAGATCGCATTTCACATTTGTCAAGATGATATCTAGAATAAGCAATGTTTGTTTTTATACGTCTCATAGAGAGTTTTTCCTTGTAAATCAACAAATTTTTGTTATACAAATCAAGAATGATTTTGCGTACTTAATCAATAGAGTAATGTTACATATTTATGTTAAGATAAGATTGTTTAAAGAATTCATCGTCTAAGCAGCTTAGATTTTGAAGTTTAACAAAAAAATATTAAATGAAATATCGTTGTGTATTAGAAGTTGTTTTAAAGAAATAGCATCTAAGAGAAAAATATTTTGTAACATCTTTTGTAGAC